TGAGTAGCGAGCCTGATGGGAGCTGCGCCCGGACTATTGCCCCAAGGAGGTGAGTGTACCTGCCCGCATCTTAGCGGAAGATTCACTCTGGCTTCGCCCATCCTATCGATGGGAGTAGCGGGGGACCAGTCATGTGTATGGAGACTTACTCGATGACCGAGTGCATTCACGTGCTAATGGGCGCTATAGAAGGGATGTGGGCGAGATAAGAATCGAGCTTACCTGTGTCTTTGTTCGAGACCATCTGTAGCAGTTGAGCGGCAGGCTGCGAGGTTTTTGGAGAGCCGCCTGTTGATTGGCCGTTTACTGAGCTGGCAGTTGGGGAGTTACTGTTAGTGGAGCCGTGTGAACTACGATCCGCACAAGATTGTTGTGTGCTGATGCACCAGCCATCCTTGTTGCTGGCACTGAGTCGAGAACTAAAGGGTTGCCGCTAGGCTATACTGCGGTATCTGCGTACTACCGCTGACTGCTATAGGCTGCTACTAGCTGCTAGGGGTTGCATGCTACCGGCTGTGTGTCTTGTGCAAGGGTTACTGACTCCTAGGCTGTGAGATGCCACGATAGCATGTGCTCCCTGCCTTGGTACTACGACGTTGGGGTCCCAGGTGCCAAGGGATTCGGGCTTGTAGCCGCAGAGAGCATCCAGCAGGCTAGGCGCTGACGAACGGCCGTAAACTGCAACACGTAGCAGATTGTTGCTGATATGGCGAGTAGGGTGATAACGACTAGCTTGATTCATCACTGTTGATCGGCTGCAAGGGGGGCTGTTGCATATTACTGGTGGTTGCCATTGATTGCTACAGGCCACTTCAGGCTACCGTGTAGCTGCAGTGGGCTAGTGAGGAAGCTTCAACGACAGTTCAGGGAGGGTGATTGGGCTGGAAGGAAGGCTGTTGCCACAGCTTGGAGCGAGTCTGAGTGCATCGTTCTTGGATCTGAGAGACTTAAACCTTCTCCTTCTGCCCTTCTTACTCTAAGTCTAGTCTGTTGGTTCTGAGAGGAAGGCGAGAGGCGGGATTGCAACCCGTAATCCGCGCCAAGGCCTTTGTGGGAGCTTCGCCCCACCGATTGCGGGAGCTCTGTCGGAACTCAGGCGGGGTTCTGGAGGCACGAAACTGAGAGGTAACCATTGTTTCCCCCTCTATAACCCCTATCTATACATCTTGCTATGTATTTGACTGAGTGTATTGCGTGTATCCTGTATTTTGACTTTGGGTTTGACTTTCAGGACATAACCCAGACTAAGTAAAGGAACGTACCTGTAATGGCAGCTTCAGTTTTTCTGCTTGACTGAAAGCAGATTTTAACAAAGGGGGTGCATTTGTGGGAAGGGTGAGAGAAAGGCAGGTTTGCTTGAGATTGAAAGGGTCCTGTGGGATCAGGCATATTCCATAAGATTGGATGGCCTGACTGCTGTGTTTTATTTTTCGAATTGCATTGAGAACGAGACAAGTTCCGTAAAATTGGATGGTCTGATTGCTCTGACTTGCAGGGGTTTGACTGTGGTTGAATTTCAAGAGCCAAGCAAATTTCATAAGATTGGATGACTTGGTTGCCTCGTGTTAATTAGGTTTTGCTCTGTTTCGTTAATCTCTGAACGAGGAGATCTGAGCAAGTTCCATAAGATTGGATGACTCAGCCTCTTCCTGCTTTTGTTCTGAGGGAGAGACTTTGGCTGGGGGCGAGGGCATGTTCCATAAGATTGGATGGCCTTGAACTCATGCCACGCACAACTGGATTAGAGAGAAACGAACCTGGCAGAGGACCAGACATGTTCCATAAGATTGGATGACCTGGCTATAGCTTATCATAAGTTGAAGAGAATATAACTAAGAGTAAAACTGAAGGTAACCTGGGCCGACTGAGCGTTGTTTCTAAGATGAATGGCTCAGTCTTACGCCCCCATGAAGACTAAGTTCAAAGAGATATATATAACTTGGGTATTAAACAGTTCAGGGCGACTAAACATTTTTTCTAAGATGAATGACTTAATCATATGCCCCAAGGAAGAGAAAAGTAGTTGTGCAACATGTTCGTGTATACTTGATGGCTGAGTCACGCATGTTCCATAAGATTGGATAACCTGACTTTACGCCTTATGTAAGTTGGGTATGAGGGATTAAATCATTGAAAGATCATGAACTATTGTTTGTTAAGTTGACTTGGGGCTGGTGAGAGTACTTACCTTTGTGGTTTGGCATTGCATGCAACTGAGTGAGGCTWYTACTTGGTCTGAGATTCAGTTTGAYAGGTAGTCGCTTTRGAGGCTCGCCRCGTGCTAGAGCGATAGGAGTTAGCTCAATTCCTGCATTTTTTTAGCTAAGTTTTTTTACTTAGATCAATTCTTGCATTTTMTGAGATCATTTATTATACTTGGGCTTGTATAAATTTTGGTAAGCTACTTTCTCTACGAGAAGCGCTGCCGAAATTTCTGCAGATCCAAGGAGTTAGCCAAAATTCTGACTTTTCAAAGTTCAACTTGTCTAAGGTTCGTGTATGGCTCAGTAAAAATCTGGGAAGTGTCCTTTTCTAAAGAAAATGCTGTCAAAATTTTTGCTAATTCAAAGAGTTAGACAAAATCGGACTTTGAAAAGTCAAAGGCAATTTTTTTATTTCATAKTCGGGCTGATACAAATTCTGGAAAGACACTTTTCCTACGGGAAGCGCTGCCCAAAATTTCCTAGTTTAAAAGCGATAGGCTATATTTTGATAGGTGACGATTCTTATAATTTACCCTGAATWTGRGGAGATTYTGCCATTAGTCTACCTTTGCTTTRGACACTGCTTAGAGGTAGACTCRGACGTAGTCAATTATGATGATTTGGGTAAGATCATGATATGGAGATTGCTCTCCATGGACTTATAGGTTTAGCCTGGGGYATTGACCTGTCATGTGTTACAGGTCCTCTTGATCGTTTGATTCAAGTTCAYGACTAGATTCAGCTTGATCCCTTGAGGATCATCTTCTKTTATCACTGRTAACAGGTCGGTTGCCGAATTGTCGGTYTACAACTCAATTCGAACTCACTCTCCATACTCAACCTAAAAGGTTTTAGCCCTGGTGACTTTATTGTTTGTTAAGGGTTTCGTCCGGACTTTTATTGAATGTCCATTTAACAAAGGTACTGAGTATTTAATTATGGCTGGTTGGATCGGAGGCTGGGGCTTGCATGGCTAAAGCAAGGGGTATGAGTGTAGAGAATGGTTGGGGTTGATTCCGTATAGTGCGTGGACTCTTGCTTGACTTTTGATGTGACTGCAGGTATGTTCGGTGGCTTGGATTTCTGGATTGAACCAGCTTGCGATCTCTCATGTATATATAGTGTGAAAGTCCCACGATGCCTGTGAGAAGTGATCGTCGCAACTCTATTTCCCTTATGTGTATATATGCTTGGGTGTACTCATGGTGGGTATCCGCGAAGCCTAAGGGGCCCCGTATTAAAGGCATATTTAGAGGTTAAGACCGGGCGGCATAAGGAAAAAACTGCCCGTCTATTTGGTTGCTCTTTGGGGTTTTCTTAGTCGGACGTTGGTTCTGGGCAAAGGTTCAAGGTCCTTGTCCAGGACATCCCCAGCCCTAGGCTCTGCCGGGGAGGAACTTCCCCTCGTACTGAGCCTATCTGCATTGACCGTCAAGACACATAACCCTGAAGGTGGAAGTGTCGCGAGGGCCGAACGGTGTGTCCTTCAGCCGTTCAATATCGTGAGGGGTCACCCCTCACGATATGTTCCTTCAGCCATTCAATATCGCGAAGTCGGAGCTGCGACGGCCGCGTGCGACTGCATTGTCGATTGAAGTAAGACGGTCGTACTTGCGAAGGATTATATCTACAGTCTGGCGCGTGACGCTTCGCTGCTTCGGGCCTCTAAAGTTATGGGACCAAAAGGGGTTCGCATAAGTGTATGAATGCTCAACGGCGGGGCAAGCCATGCGGGTAATCAAAGGAAAAGCGTGATACCAAGGCCGTGGGTTTTGGGGCGGGAAGGCCTTGGCCTATTCTACTTTTGCTTTTTAAGATTTTTATAGTTGGACGTTGTAGTCTGTGGCAGCCGTCAAATTCAAACCCCTTGGCTTCTGCCCAGGCCTGGAGTAGGACTTATCCCCAGGGTCGCAAGAAACGACTGCCACCACAGGTATGGACCTGTGTAACACCCGCTCTGCATAAGGTGCAGAAGAGGGTCTGTGGTCTTCAACCACGCATAACGGTTGTCCGGGGTCGAGAGATTAAGCCTCAAGGCGCGTGTCAGCCGACACTTGAGTGTCGAATGCGACCCTCGAGATTAACGAGGGTTGCACGAGTATGGGTACTACATGGTACGCCATCACTGCGACCGCTTGCGTACGTTCGCATTGTTAGTCGATATGAGTCAGCCCTGCGTCCACGCGGTTTTATACTAAGTCTCACGTGCGATGCCTATCCGATTTCCGCAGTGGAAAATTATGGGATGACCACTGAAGGGGCTAGGAGCGTTGTCGCGTTCTTTGTGTTGTGTCGTTTCGCGTGCGCGTATGTTTGTGTTCGTGAAGTGGTGTGCTCGTGGTGTGTGGGATGCGTCCTAGTCGACCGATGACGGACCGCGCTCGGGATTTCAGCCCCCCAAGATGTCGGTTCGCGTGCGGGTCCGATAGAGGTGTATTACCGCGCRTACCCCCTATGCTACAGCGAACGAGAAACGCCCTCGGCTGGTCCACCTCTGCGATTGCAACTGATTAGCTTTCGTACTGTGGACTGGTAGCTCGGCGGGGATACGCCCACCAAAGGGAGGTGACAACTCCCGTAAGGTGGAGGTAAGTTATGCCTCGTGTAGGCCCTATCCTGTCGTAGGGGCTCGCGAGAGGTATGGCTGGTGCACTTCGCCGGAGCGGCTTGTGGAAGCTCCATGTATGTATCGCGACGAAGGATTTAAGACCAACTCCTGCGTGACGCGGCCGAGAGGGTCGCGCGCTGCCACGTGAGGTGCCGAACCGATGCGCTCGACAGGCAACGCCGTTTCCGGGGATAACGGAAGCCTACCGTTGTCCCTGGTGGAACGACATCCGGGTATGGGAATGAGGGAGAACCAGGCAAGTGAGTAGATAAGGGTAGGACTATGAGATGGATTGTATAATAGTCTATATGGCTGTATGTGTGAATGTTGACTGATTGGTGGTTTGGCTGATGGTGTGGCCCACGCGAATGTGTGAGGGAAATTCTATGGTGGGGATGGACCTTATCTAGGTGAGCCTAAAGGAAATAGGAAGAGAAATGTCTGCCAGGTCTAGAACGTCAGGTGTTTAAGGGGTCAGGTTGAAAGGATCGTGGGGGATTGGACTGCTGAGTGGAACCTTTCGTCCTATCGTTTCCTATAACAGGGGGAATGAAGCCGAAGGCAGTCGATCAAAATGCCAGAGGAGATGGCGGACGGTGGGAGAAGGCTCGTGATGCTCGACGACCTCATCGATGCCCTGGATAAGCGCGAGAGAGCGCCGAGCAATATCCCGAAGGTCGATACATTCCATTTCAAGGGAGATCGGGTGTCAGACTGGCTAGACCTGGTTGAGCAGACACTGGTGGGATTGGCGGATGAAGTAAGATTTCAGCGGATTATGAGATACGTCCTTCATATCCACCATCAGGAAGTGGGTAGGGTGGTGGACGCCGCAAATGGCAGTTGGGCAAGGTTCAGAGACCTAATGCTAAGAAAGTACAGGCTAGGGGATGGGCTGCTGACCATGGCGGACCTGGAGGCCATGAACAAAGATGACTTCTCCACAATTGGGGCGTTCGTGCACGAGTTCAAAAAGAAGGCGAGGAAGGTGCCCGGGATTTCTGAGGAGACGCAGTGTGCTATATTTTTGGGCCTCCTTACTGGCTCGGAGGCCGCGGAATTGACGAGCCATGGAGGAGGAAGTGAGAAGCTCGCCTGGGCCACTATTGATAAGGGAGTGGAAGAGGGGAGTCTCGACCAGGTGGAGCAGCACCAGTTGCGGTTGCAGAGGTGCAAGAGGAAGGAAAGGGACGCCACCGCATTGGGGACCCCAGGGGTGAAGAGGATTGTCACGGACGTGCTGGCTGCGATGGGGTATGATAATGAGGCGAAAGTGCAAAAGAGAGGGGTGACCGTGCCCCAAAGTCGGGCATCGGGGGCAGTAGATGAAGAGGTGGGACGAGAGGATTACGGTGGAGAAGAAACGGGCTCCCAGATCCTGACCAAAGCCCAGAGGAAGCAGCGTAATTTGCTAATGGGGGGTCAAGGATCAGGGAAGGGGCAGGCCCCGCAAGCGGTTGCCGCGCCACCACCTGCCACCACGACAACGCCAACGTCAGTCGGGTCGTCGTGTATGGGGCCGCCGCCGGCTTGTGGGAACTGGATGCCGCATTATCAGCCCGCGCCCTGGCCCAGTTGTAACCACTGTACCTCCTGCGGAGGGAGTCAGGCCCATGTTGGATAGATGGTTCCCTATTCAGGGCCGTCGGCAAGTATGGCCCCCCCGAGCTACCCGGCGACTCAAGGTCAGTTTGTGGCCCAACCGCTACCCTCCCAACAAGCCTCGCAAGCTAGTGTGGCCGGGGGAGGAAACCAGGGGCAAGGCGGCAAACGCAATGGAGGCCGAGGCCAAGGGGGTCAAGGAGGCGGTGACCGGGGACGAGGAAGAAATGGTGGAGGTCGTGGAGGTGGTTGGAATGGTCAGGGGGGTCAGAATCAAGGTGGCCAAGGCGGCTAGGAGGGCGGCCAGGGATATGGAAGGCCCCGCTTTGACTGGCGGAATGCCACCTGCTGGCATTGTAGTGTCGTAGGACACACCATACGGTTCTGCCAGCAGCAGCAGGATGATGAGCTAGCAGGGCTGATCTCCTCCTGTATGGACGGATATATATTTGATAAATGAGGAAAGCATATTGACCCCAAGGTCCCGGGAGGAATCAGGCAAGAGGCCCTCAGGCGAGCAGCGGCAGGGTCACCGGTAACCCCAACCATGTTCAGGATGTGGCATGAAAGAGAAGATCCGGCCATAAGGGTCGAGGAAATTGTGGGGGATAGCGAGGAGGTTACTCAGCGACTAAACGCGGTGTCGGCACCATTACCCTTACAAGGGTAATTGTGCGCGTTTTTGCACCTTGCAGGAGAGGCGACTGGGCCAGGACCAGTAAAGGTGGCACATAGTTGTCCTGCCGCGACCGACATGGAAGTCGGAAGCGGCAGGTGTAAGTGTGTGCCAATTAGAGAGTGTGTGAGCAGGCACTTTGCGGGCATGCGCGAGTAGTTGGCCGCCGACTCACTTAGAAGTTTGGGACGGACTACGCAAGTCACAGGACCACGGCCTTGGTAGAGCTACCGCGGCACAAGTATAGTCGGTAGGGCTATGGTAAAAAAGGGGGGGGCCTTCGCCGATCCGATAAAAGGCGACGCCCTTGGGGTCGCATGGTGCGGGTGGCGACGACATAAAATCAACTGTGTATTACCGGGAGCCAAAGGTTGGAGAGCGGGTGCGGACTGGACCCCGTAAGGTTGAAGACCGGGACCTTTTCCGGTGAAACGGCGATAAGAGGCCGGCCACGGCGGGGCTATGAAGGCCGCTCGTTGCGGTTAAAGGTACTCGAAGGTGGCATGTGTTGCAAGACGCGCCAAAAGTTGCTTTGAGGCGGCCGAGCGTGGCTCTACAAAGCCGTGGGCCTGAAAGAGCAGGCCAGCTGTGGTCGTAACATGCCCCTGCAGGCTTGGGAAACCCGCAGGTACTATTGATATGCAGGTTTGCGCCTGCTATTTCCAAGCTGGGGCTTAGCCCTATAGGTTACGGTGGCCGACTTCTACCAGGCGGATCCCAGGATCGAGGCCAGCAGCCAGCATTGGAGGAGCAAAGGAGCGCAGGACAATCGAGGGGTTGAGGGTTCCGCGGGATTGTCCCCCTTGGTTTTGCCGAGGAGTCCGGCAGCGGGCCCACGAGGCAGGGCTAAGGGCAGAGTGCCAACGGTCACCCTTCCCTCAGCTATTTTTCCTTTTTTCTCTTTTAGAAATTCCAAGTTTCTAATTTTTATTATTATTATTTTTTTATTATTATTATTTTATTTTATTTTTTCACCTTTGTTCGTTTTGGGGCACGACCGGTGCCGACTCCGGGACCGGCCGTGGGCACCAA